CATTGTGCTTGTTGATGTAAGGCTTGCATGTAGCTGCTTGGACAAAGAAACCCATGCCATTAAGCTACCAACGCAGTTTTAATGCCAGACAAGATTTAAAACTCTGCAGTTATTGAGTCAGCAGAAGGTTGGCGACTTTTATGCACTATGTGCCTCAGCACTTGGCGACCATGCTCTGTAACTGTACGTGGTCTAGCACTTCGTGGCCAGGTTGCTTTGGTTTCTAAACTCTTCTATGACTCTTCATGGTCATGGATCATGGAATATCTAAGAGGGAAGAAATTGTGAACTGACTTTTTGCACTGACAGTGGCATCCTGTAACAATACCATGCTCAAATTCAGTGCGCTTCTTAGAACAACCTGTTCTTCTGCAATTTTTGTTTGTAAAAGTAGATTACATGTCTGTGTGCCCTTTTTTTTTAAATGGCAATGGGACTCAATGAAACACCTAATTCAATGATTAAGAGGAGTGTCTTAGAACTGTTGTCCATATAGTGTATAGAAAGTGTGTTGGGATCTTGTGACTGATCAGTATTTCTGTCTTAATTTCATTATTATTTGTACATAATCTGTTTGTTTTTATTTTCAGTCGTGGTTATATTGGAGGCCCTCCACCACACCAGGGTCCCCCCATGCACATGGCCCCTCCAGACATGCGTGGGCCCCATGATATGAGAGGAGCTCCCATGATGGTAGAGCCCAGAGGTCCTATAATGGAGCAGCGTGGCCCGCCCATGGACTCTAGAGGTGACTACAGTACTAGGCAAATATTTAGATGCACTTGATTGAATGGCTGTTTTGTTGGGAGGGTTTATCATGTTCAGAATCTCTTGCAATGGGATGCAACAAATGTCCTGTCTCGCTAGCCATCAGAATAGATTGGCTGGGCCATAAAATTACAACATTTTACAATAGCATTATTGTCATTGTCCAAAATGGATTCTGGTCACCATTTCCTGTAACACCAACATGCAACATGTATCTCAACACACTGCCTCTGCATTATTTCATCTGAAAAGTTGTATTTCATCTCAAATGTCCGATTTCTGCTGCTGGTGTTACTGATGTTTTTGAAACCTGTGCAATGGAAGACGTGCTTTCTCCTGATATTCTCACTTTCAACTTTCAAGTTTTTTGAGACTTTAAGATTATGTGCATAACAGATCCCACAACAAGATAACAAGACATAACTGTTCATGCTGAGAACAATGTTTGAACGAAACAATTCATTCCTTTTAAGAAAATATCAGGTAAAAAATAGATTTCTGTTGAGAAGCCATTTTGAACTCATGGCGTGTCTTCATGTACTGCATGCAAAAAATTAGATATTTGTTGAAATCTAGGAAATTTCCAAGATTAAAGATTTCACACAGTGATTAAAACTGCATTCTCCAATTAATTCTCTATTAATGCGAAATGAGATGCTACTCATAGTGTCATATTTATACGAAGTTAATATATATGTTCAGTCTAGTAATTGTTTTTAAAAAAAACAGTTAAACTCAATGTCTAAGATGTAGTTTTGACCCTGATGGGTTAAACTTTACTTATTCATATTAAAAATTCATATTTAGACCACAGTTTTGTAGTTTTGCATGAATTAAAGTGAAACCATTTGCATTTTTTTCCTGTGGAAAATGTGATCCACAAGGCTTTTGGTAAGTTGGCACAGAATAACCCACAATTTTAAAGACATAATACCCCATAATCCTGAATTTTGCTTTTATTTTTTTTATTTTTTATTTTTTGGAAATACAGCACCTATACCTCAAGGCCGCGATCCTCGGGCTGTAGACACTCGGGGTCCTGTGGCAGGCCAGAGGGTTCCTGTAGCAAGTGGAATGCCAGGACCTCCTCACGCAATGGGATCAAGTGCGCCTCCACCTGCTCGACCTGTATGTCCTAAACTGTTCCATTTATTCTGTACATTTAATGCGTTTTGATTTCTTTGTGAAAACTCAGTGCATAGTAAGACGAAAACAAAAATTATATAATCTCTTCACCAGGGCCCTTCATCTGATGTGACATCGCAAGATCACGAAAAGGTAGATCTAGCAAATCATCCTCTGAACATGCATCACATATTTCATATTAAAAAAAAAGGAGGTTAGTTACGAATGTGTAAAACTAGACAAAGTGACTTGACAAAGTGTAGACAGGGTGTCTGGGTCAGGAATGTGTTCTCTTTTGCAGCTTTGTTTAGATAATGCATTGAGTTACACAATCTCTCTCTTTCAACAAACAGATGATTGTCTCTATCTGCTGCTTTGAAAGCTGTATTTTTTATCACTTGTTTAATTGATTGGCAACATTCAGTGTGTCTTTGTTTTGTTCAGGCTGCACTGATTATGCAGGTGCTACAGCTAACTCCAGAGCAGATTGCCATGCTGCCACCTGAGCAGAGACAGAGTATCCTCATCCTGAAAGAGCAGATCCAGAAGACTGCTGGTGCACCATGAAGATTCCATGCATGCCGTGAGTGTCTTTCTTTTCTCTGAAATTTGACTATTCTTAGTATTTGCATTTGTGATTAGGAGTCGGCTTACATGTTGCAAGGTTACATGTTGGCTGTCTTGCTCCCTTCAGGGCCAACTTTCCCTGTCTTTCTGTTTCTTCTTCTCGTTCTCCCCCTCACTGTTTCTCTTTTTTGCTGGCTTTAAAGAAAGAACTTTGAGGGGCGGAGCTAAGGCAGAGCTAAGGCAGAGCTAAGGCGGGGAAAAGGTTTTGGTTGGTTTGTTAGGTTACCTATAATGAATATGCAATTTCTTTGAATGCTGCTCAAGTGTCACATAATCCTTTGGAGATTCTGAGTGTGGTTACACTTAAGTAAAAGAAGCATGCAATTTCACATATAAAACGTTATTGTTTCCATAGTGACTATTGCAAATGACTATGGAGCTTACAGATCATTATCCCTTAACGTAAACCATGATATGGTTACATACAATAAGTTGAATCCTTAACCATTCTAGTCATATAAGAAGTAGGAGCTACTTGGACAAAAGAATTAAATTGTTAAGACAATTTCGATGTTATACGTCACATTACTATTTCTAAACAATGCTTACATGAACGGTTACATAATAACTCAGAGTAAAATAAGTGAGTACGTAATCATCAATAATTCTGTAGATATGTTGGGAGAAGCTCTATGATTAAAGTGTACATAGTCACACAAGCTACAAACTTTAGAATCCTACTTCTAATAACACTACAAGAAGACTTGCAAGAAAAGCAGATACATAAGATTAACAGTGATCACGAAATACATGGGTTGTTTCTCAAACAAAAGAAAAAGAAAAATTATTATATAATGGGTGAAATGAATATAGTTGTGAATGATCAAAGATCAATACAATAACCTAGATCAGTGAGGAAGGGTTACAATCCAAGAATCAAAATAACTACTAGAATATAAAAGAACATAGTGAAGAAAGTTAGGTATTAATTCCCTTTGGCAGGGATTAATCAATTCACGCCTGACAAGGCAACATGTTAACAGTAACAGAGTTCTTCACAGTTTGATAAAGGAAAGGCATTTGATTGATACTTGATTAAAGATCACATTGTGAATAATTTTGCCAGAAAGCAGGGCTCTCAGGAGCCTAGCCTCTGCACAGACCCCAAATTTATGATACTGAAGGAATGCACTTAAGAGTATCTGGCCACACCGAGGGGTCTGCTCAGGGATCCGTGAGGTCTCAACAGTCCCCTCACCCAGAGTTGATTGGTGGGCCATCTTTGGCCTTTGTTTAGGTTAGACGTCTCTCTTTGTGGGTGAAGGTGAGATGTATGGGTGTGAGAGAGAGAGGGAAAGGAATTTTCAGAAGTCCCGATTTATCAGTGGGGGGGCAGCAAATGGGCTGTGAGACGTGTCTTTAGCAGTCAGCCATAAATTTACTATTGGTCCTTCTAAACATCCTGCCGCATGCAGATGCAGATCTGACTTTGCTCAAAAAGTTCTGATCCGTTTATGAATTAAAACAGCAAAGCACGCTACACTCTTTATTCTTATTTTAGTAACCCACTCTTTCTTTCAACCATTCTTCCTTGCAGAACGCTTCTAGTTCTATGATGTTCTTGGGCTGTCTTGCATGCACATGTTTCACACATTTTCAATGATGTTCAAGTCAGGAGACTGTGAGGGCCAAAATTCCTTGAAGTAGTGGATGGTGGATTTTGAGGTCATTATCCTGTTGTAGAAGCCAGCTTCTTTTCAGCTGCGGTCACTTGACTAACTTGACTGATTTGTCCAGAATTTTCTAATATTTAGTGGAATCCATTCTTCTACCTACCTATGCAATATTGTTGTTTTGCATACTTCAGATGTCTTTTATGGTGCGATCACAGGTAAGGTTTCTTTCTGATGACTCTTTAATGCAGCCGTTGTGGAAGTAGTGCTGCACAGTAGGATAATGCGACACCACTCCATTGTCAGCTAAACCTTTCTGCAGGTTGTTTGCTGTCATATTGGGGGTTTTGCTTTGCCTGTTTGGCCAGCATATAAGCAATTTTATCTCAGAGTGCTCTTGGTCTACAAGATCGTGCCTTGACTTTTACAGTTCTCTTGACCTGCCATTTTGTAATGACATTTTGGACAGTGGAAGCTGAAAGCTGTTTGCTTCTTATCACTTTAAAAATCAACAAATTATGTAAATTAGCCAGGGGTGCTTAAACTTTTGCATACAACTGTACATATAATTTAGGCATACCAGTGTATTTCTACATGTTGGGATAGTTCTGAATTAAAGTGCAACTGTACATTGACTTATTTTGTCTTTTTTTTTTTATAGGATTTATTGGAAACACACAGCCCATGCCCCTGTTTTTGTTTTTGTGTGGATCAGCGAGGAAACCCCACATTCAGTTTTGAAACTGGTTTTCATCATCTCTTGTTGAGAATGACTATGGCAACAGTGTTGACTTGACTTTGAAGGCAAACTGACTTGTGTGTGATCTCACTGGAAAATGGCAAAAAAAACAACATGACCAGACTTTGTTCATTTCATTTTTGTCAAATCTTTATTGTCTGTCTGAATATTTCTTTTCAATAAAAAGAAAAAAATATCTGTATTGTCAGAACGCTTTTTCAAACACAGGATTACAAAATCAAATTCCATCAAACAATAAGAGAAAATAACACTGAGCAAGTGGTTTATCTAGAGCGATTGGCCTGGCTGCAATGAAAAGCCACTTGGTTTCCAGGAAACTTTTTCTTCCCTATGCATATCCTGGTACACCTTTTCTGAGAAGCCTAGGTAAAGACACAGTGCCAAGACACAGGAACTTATGATTCAACAGGACTTCCTATACAAAGCAACCTACTTAAATATGGTAAAGGGGCAAGCCACGTGTTCAGTTTCACAAAAAAAGGAAATTGTCATAAAGCTAAAGATGATTCATCAGTAACAAGGTAGGAAGCCACACCCAGATTAAAGAAAATCACTCCCACAGTATATGGCATTAAAGCCTGATTTACAGTCAGTGTGGAGTGTGCCTGTGGGCTTCTGTCTGCCTTTCAAAAACTGCAAACATGCAATCATCCCAGAAATGGGATAATTCAATACATAGTATAGCATATATAGTGTCAATAGTATGTTGCTACAGAGTACCATGAAATATTTTACACTGATGGTTATCACTACTACAAACAGCTGGCCCCTGCACAAACCTACAGTCTTGCTGTAGCTAAACCTCATGCCACACAGAGTGCAGCGACAATAAATCAGGCTCCAATCAGATATAGATACAGAGATTTTGTACATATATACACACCCTTATACACAGTTTTCTGGAAGAGGTAGTGTTAATTACTTCAGGCCTCCACACCCATGCAGGCAGCAATACAAAAACCGTCATATTGTCAAACTGACATTGCATAAGCTCATAACAGAAAGTGCAAAGACCAGAGAAGTTTTTCCCTCAAGTTAAGATGTTAGCTCAAATCTGCTCAAAAGTTCTCTTTGTTGAAGTAAAATTTGGTCTTCCGAGGATCCACGTCTGAATATTTCACACATTTCTTTTCCAAATCTTTCGCTAAGGAAGCCGGGCCACACAGGAACGTGCCAACCACTGACCTGTAGATATAGATTATGAATTACATATTTCTGTATGTGGTTAAACACAGGTGACATGAGCATGTTTGGAACAAGTTTTGAACTTACGATGGGTTCTCTTGACGAACTTGCTCAAATTCTTTCTCCCAGTTGGGCCTCCCATAGTGAGTCTTCTGCTTTAGTCCAGTGATAACATCAGTATCTTTATCAAAATGTACCATCACATGAGCTGCCTGTAAACACAAGATAAGCACACACAAACATACAACAACTGTTATCACAGCCATTACACAGTTGTATTAATTTAAAGGTCAGAACAAAACATTTCCAAAACTTCACAGGAGAGGGGAAAATGTCCCTAGTTTTTAATGTAATCGAATGTAATGAGATTATTTTCCAAGTAATTGAAATTGGACCATTTCTGTTGGTCCATCATGAACATTTTTGATACAATGTGAAGCATACCTGACATTTTCAGATCATTTAAAACTCACAATAATGGAAATACAATGTTTTATTCCAACAGCAAATGTATGTAGCTGTTCAAGTAGTTTGCATTACAGAATGTACAGGAAACCTACATGAGTATGGTCCCAACCAGTGAGGAAGAGTTTATATGTTAGAAAGTCTTTCAAGCCTCTCTCCTCCATTTCTTTCTCAAGCACCTGAAGCAGGTCTGCAAACCACTCAAAGGCATGTGTCTCTCTGCACAACCAGTAGAAGTAAATCTGTGTAGAAAATCAAATGTAAAATGAAACTGAGAAATGCCTTGCTGACATTGATCTGCTGTCTCAAGCAGCCAGAAATTAAAACCTTTTCTGGCCTGAAAAACAATACAAACACTGTGGTCTAGAGGACTTGCTTGTTTGGCAAGATTTTGCATACTCACCTTTCTTGTATGCAGTTTGGGGTTGGAATCTTTAAACTTATACCAGATGGACTTCAGGATGGAGGCAAATGGGGTCACTCCAATCCCAGCGCCCACTAGCATGCTGACCTCATAGTCAAACACATCTTCACTGGCGGTCCCAAATGGACCATCCACACCAATTCTGAATGGAAATCAGAAATCAGACTATTAGTCTTTCCCTGTTGTGATGCAGTACTATTGTATTGACTGTGATAAGGTCATATTTGTCACTACATTCATAATAACTTACTTTGGTCCTTGACTCCCTTCTGGTAGGTTTTCCACCATCTTGATGAGTTTCTCAGTCCAGTCACCAGCTTGTCGAATGTGAATGGTGAAAAAATCTTCCTCAGGGGCTGATGTCATTGTAAATGGGTGCCACTCCAGTTGAGAGATTTCTGGACAGTTCAAAAAGACATACTGGCCAACATCCATTTTAAAACCAGACTTCACCAACTGTAGCTCCAGGACTCTGGATGGATGCATCACAATCTAGGAGGCGTAAATGAGATTCATTGTTACCGTAAAATACTTGACAAAAACATTACTTCCCCTCCTCTGCATCAGCGAAGGCTTACCTTTTTGTATCGCACAGTCTGCAAGTAGCGGATAAAGCGTAGCAATCTCTCACATATGTAGATTACCATAGGACCAATCACCCACATCCAGGTCTATGAAAGGACATTCAACACATAGGATTATGCAACAGACCTACAACAATGAACAGAAATTGATACATTTGGTATGCACATTCTTATAATTCTTTAACTCTTACCTGAGGAAACCCTCCAGCAAACTGAGGAATCGGACATTCTGGAATCTCACCCCATTTGTCTGGATGATCTTTGCAAAAGGTCGTATTATGAGGAGGGTTAGTGGGCAGCTGGCCTCGCACAATGCGCCTGCATCAGAAGCAAATGGCATCTTCATCAATGTTCTTTGCAGAAATATACAATATCGCTGCTGTGGGAACAAAACCTTGTATCTCCAAAAAGGTAACTTTAGAGAAGGAGAAAACATTCTTAAATTTTAGAAGAAAGTAAATGGGAAAAATATTTTTCCTAGTAATTTTGGACCTTTTCTGATGGTCTGTACATCATAAAATTTTGAAACATCATAAAGAGCAATTGCCCTTCTCAAATTATGTCAAATTTTTTTTAAATGATGATACAACGATTTGTCCCGCCAGCAACATAATATTTCTTTGAGCAATGTCAGTGTTTGCTCTGAATGCCTTACCCTGCACCATGAAAGACGAGGCCTGCAAAGAAGATGATGAAGAGGTGATGGGTGTACCAGAAGACCTCGAAGTAACTTCGCCGAATGACTTCCATTGAGGACGTAATCATGAGGATGAGAGCGAGGGTGATTACAACTCCCGTAAGGCCAGCAATGGTGGTGAACGCAAATATGGTTGGAGTCTGGGATACAAACGTATTAGTGCCATCAGTGTGGTGCCTTCATGTGTTGAAATAGCACGTAAATTACTCTGTAAACTAATTAAATGTGTTTGAAATGAGAAACATACAGAATATACAGAAACCAACAACTTTTAAAGTGGTGGAACTCACCGTAGAGTCAGACGGGACAGGATTCAGGAAAGTAGTGTGATCGTCTTCCTCATCTTCAAGCTTGGAGAGATTACCAGGGAGAGGACCATATCGTCCATGTCGACTGTTGATGTACCATTCCACATTAAGCAAATGGGCAACAGTGTGAACAGCTAGACAGTGGGGGGGAAAAAGAGAACGGACTAAGCGAAATGGGACCACAGTGTCATCCAGCTCCATGTGTGAGAAGGTGGATGCAAGGTTTGTTGGTGTTATACAGAGAGTTGGTTGTGAGAAATAGGACTAAACTTTCACTGGGGTGGTAACCTCAAGGGTTCGTCTTACCTTTAGTTACAGAATATAACTGTACCATTTTTTAGTAACACTGACACTGTACACCCCACGTGACTCCAGGCTTTTTTAAAGTGAAAATGGGAAAATGAATGTAGTACCTTTAAAACTCATTTAAAGTGCACAAATGACCTTTAAGGGGCCCATTTCTTACATTTGCTGTGTTTTTTTTCTAAGAGGTCTGCTTATGACATTTTATGAACAGAACAGGCTGTTTTTGTTACTCTTTAAGACTGATACATGTAAATGAGCTGCGTTTCGATGGGTTGCCCTGTATTGTACCTCATTCAATATGCAGTCCAGGCTGAGACACTAATTATAACTTCTTGCAAAAGTGGGTGTGCTAATCTGCTGTAGGCTGAATAGGTGGCAATATTTAAATGTATTGGTTTTCATGACTTCACAAAAAATGAATTCAAAACAGGCTATTTTGGCAGCCTAGTTTCTATAGACGACATGGTACACGTAACATACTACATTAAACTCACATTAAAAAAAAAAAATGAAAAAAAATAGTTTTCCATGATCCGGGCCCTCTAGGACGACTGTTGTACATTGGGGGTAGATGTACATTGTTTTTACTTTGTTGAACAAAAATCTATTGAACAGTCTACAGAATTTTCACTACCAGATCTTCTTACTCTAAAGGTGATATGGCCATCTGAGGGAATTTACTGATTAAATAAAGAAGTCTCACAAGCCTTATATAAGTCCATTTTTTTAAAAAAGCCCACTGTCAGTAAATAATTAGCTATTCACTGAAAAAGAATTCATTGTCCTCTTCCCGTATTGCATGTGTTGACATTGTTTACGCAGTCTTTTTTGGAAACTGATAACTGTGTAGAGTAAACTTCCGCGGATGAAGAAACTGCTTTACTTTGGTGTCAATTCTATGATTTGCAAGGTGATTTATCAGGTAAATGCTTATCTCTATGAATGTCTCAATAATCAGTGCCATTTCCTGTCTGTTATCTAGCTAGGACACTTTTATATAGCTTACCGGTCATTAAGGCAATCATGTAGGCAACCAGCTTGTGGAATGTGAGGTTTTTGTCCAACTGTTTCCGCATAGTTCGTCCACAGCACTGAAATGTGAACAAAAGCAAAAAGCAAAAAAAGCAACAAAAAAAAAGGTCACAGACTGCACTCTCTGTTATCTTTTAAACAGAACAATGTGCTCATGCACCTGTATGCACACAGTCACAAACCCCACACCCACATACTTGTTTTCCCAACTCACCACGAATGAGCCACGGAGCAGAGACAGAAGGTTGCGGCATACTGGCAGGAGGATGAGCATGCAGTTAAAGTTGAGAACTGCAGCAGGAGCTCTGGCCCAGGCGAGTGCGGACTGGAAGCCAAAAACACATCCATTTGTTGTTTTAATGTACATTTAATTTAATTAATTTAAGTGATTTAATTAATTCAAGTATTTCTGTGTCTGTAACTTTCTCCTGTCTTTTCTACCATAACAACATGAGCTAAATAAACTAATAAACAGTAAAGCAGGGGTTCCCAATTACCCCCTCCACACTATGTTTGGCTATGTTTTGGGGCTTTCCATCATCTAGCGCCTCTGACTAAACTCAGTAGCTAATTAACAAGACATTTTATGACATTTTTTAAAACAATATATTAAAAACTCAGCAAATAAATAGAAATTGTGCATTTACATTTGAAAAAAGCTGAAAATCATTTGTAGGGTTGAAGAATCGAAACTTAACACATTAAAATGCATTTTATATCTTAATTTTACACCTTAAAATGCACACATTAAAGAGTTCATTTTTAAACAAGATACAGGACATTGTTTTATCAGCAGGACTGTGGTGACTCTCACCCCTAGTAGCTGACGAGTGTAGAAGAACTGAGGGCCCAAGTCGTAGAACAAATAGAAACGCACAAACAAGAAGATATTGATGCCCATCCAGACCACCTAAAAACAACATTAACATTTTATACAACCGTGTATTGTTATAAATCAAACAAAAAGTAAGGGCAGTTCATTTTGTTTATGCTGAAAACGTGCAAGCTTTTACCTTTAGCAAGGTTTAAGTATTTATGACACAAACTATAGTGTTGCATAAACTTGAGCTTATACATTATTTCATGAATTAAGTTTTACAACATTGCCATAACTGTAGTGATCACAAACTCAGATGTAAAAAGAAACCTTTTTGAATATGAGTTTTCAGAGTTACGTACTTTCAGGATAGTTTGGAGTAAAAGTTACTGAGCAGTAAATAACTACTAACTACTGACTACTAAACATACTGAGACACTTAATCACGGTTAGCATCCCTAAAAGAAAGTCTTCCGTGTTTAACTTATATAACATGTGAATAGGTTGTTTGAAAACAATATCTGAAGAAAAAAAAAAACAGCTAATAAACAGAGATCAACTAACCCCCGGGAATTCTGGGTGACTTTGGCCGATAGTTTTATTTATTTTGCAAGTGCACTTGTATTTTCAACCAGACAGTACAAACAACTTGGATTAAGTGTTAGCAACTACTGTCAAGAAATGACGCAGTTATAACTGGATTGTCAGAGCTTTCAAAAACAAAAACACACAATATTCTAAAGGCTAATGTACATTAATCAAAAACAGAAACAAAAACTGCCTTTTTGAAATGTATTTGATAAATATATTTAAGTATATTTCTGTATGGGTTCCTAAAGTAACGCATTTGTAGGCTAAATATTTAATCATGAATAAAAAGTGGCTTATTTCCATTTATTCTTACCAAAATAAAGGATTCCAGTCCATGGTTTATGATCCAGTTCCCCATCTTGGCTCACGACTCCGTTCTGGTAGAATTTCTCCAGCGTGTGAGTTTTATACTGAGCCCGTCACCTCAGACTCCGCCCCCTTCTTTACACAGGCACAAGGAAACTGCCCAGTCAAAAATAACCAAATACAGGAAACTCTCATAAGGAAAAACTCTGGTGTAGAAGTCGCTGGCTCGAGTCATGTATTGTATAAACGTGATATCTTTCAGGTAATCTAGTTGAAGGAAACTGTGAAAGGCACAGCTTTAACTTGACCCGAGAAAAATGAGTACTCAGTTTATCAAGATACAGCCATCCACACTGGCTTACATCCTGATCAGAGCTCTCGCACAATGGTGGAAATGACTATTAATAATAACTCTGGAGTCAGACGTTCGATGTATTTTATTCATATTATATTTAAGATACAGTCAGTAGATTGGAGGCACATCATTCAGGCACAAGAAAACAACCAACCAAACAAAAAAATGTAGCAAATTAAGACATTCTTCCTTTTTTGGCTATTAAAAATCAAAGTCATTAATTTCAATGTTTTTTTCTGATTATGTGTTCTGCAGGAAATCAACAGCCATTTAAAACTACTGTGTCACGCTCAACAGAGCTTCATTGTTTGAGTTCCTCTACATGTTAAAGGAAATTAAATTCAAAGGAGGATTCACAACTTCTCAGATATGCAAGTTTCAAAGTGCACTTGAGGGAAACGAACCACTGGATCATCTACGCTTTGGCTTGCCTGTTACGCTTGCCCTACAAGACAGTACAGCAGGACATCCCTAAATTAACAGGTTTTTCCATTCAGAGTCAGACACTTGGCATTTTGCCCACACACCTGGGCAACACTTTGGTGGACTACGCCATTCTGAATGCTGCTTTTGTGAACCATCTCTGGATAACTGAACAAAGGACATTCCTAGGTGTCTAGCAGCCTATCAATCAATGACCTCCTTTCATTTGCACACCCATGCAGTAAAGTCTAAAATTAGAGTACTGTCACTTTTTTATGGTGCAATTCCAAACCCTCATGCTAAAAATACTGAAATTACACAAGAATTTTTCATATAATGCAGCATTTTTAGTGTAGTTGATCACCTGATCTTCATTAAACAAAACAAAACAGTCCTGAGCATTGATTGATGCAAAAATGCTAGACTTGGCCCTAAATGTGACCAAAGGAATAACATGGTCAAGCTGCCTCCGTAGTGTCATCCAGAATATCTGTTTCTCGTTCCCCCAGCTGGGCGGTGAGGTCCGGGGGTTGTGAGTCCTCTGGAACTAGTACACCATCGTCCTGAGGCTGCGATTGGACTTTCTTCTGGCAGCATACGCAGCGCAAGCAGTCCTCCACATTGTGTTTGAAGAGCTTACGGGCTGGGTGGCAGAACTGATAGAAAAGGAGCATGAAGAGCACTGCCAGGCCATAGCAAACGATCAGCTGCACCACCAACAGCGGTACACACACATACACATAGAAGTCCGACTGAAATGAAAACCACAAGATGATAAGCACTACGTTTTCAAAGAAGCGAAATGTGTAATAGATGGCCAGGTGGCTCCAGCGAGGCTGCTTCTCGATGAGGTCGTGATCAGCCAGGTTCAGCTGCACAGCTGACCAGCAAAAGATGTTGATGCACGCATAGAGGAGTGTGACCATGCAGAGCACCACTGTGGTGCCCAGCTTGCTGAAGTTCTTCTCAATATTCTCAGGCATGGAGGCCTTCCTGGCCCAGAACTCCACCCAGGGCTGGAAGAAGAAGATGAACAGGTTGGCCAGCCCCACTGGGATCACCCAGAAGGTGAGGGCAGTGCTGAATAGCACCAGGGAGGCGATACGGGTGGTAATCTCCAAGCCACGCCACAGCACCATGCAGAGGTAGGCGGCAGGCTTCAGCCGCACCTTGTATTCATCGTACCGGATCTGAATGGCCAGCACACTGCAGACCAGTGCCCCATAAATGATTGATATCAAGGAGATGACCATCAAGACAACTGGAAAAACAAATGTGAGATGCTTGTGTTAAGAAATAAACATACAGCATTTTACTATGAATGCACAATGATATCGGAATCATATTGCTATCGGCAGATAATTGCATAAACAAAAATTATCTGCATCAGCATCAATCAATACTTCATTATGTTAAAGCAAGTGTTCTGGTAAAAGCATATAACAAATCTATGAGACGGTTGGGGGCTTTGAGAAGAAATCAGGAACCAAACTTATGTTCTTAATAACAAGCTCACACATATCAACCACTTCTTTGAAAAACAGGCATACTTGGTGCTTATTACTGTATTTGTGTTTATTTGCACTTATTATTTGGCATATGGTGATTTTACATGCAAAAACACTTACTGCCAATGGTTTTTAATAATGTGCTTAGGTGCTTAACAACTCTGCACAGGATTTTATGTATATGAAAAACAAAATATCGTCACTTATCCACAATTCCAATATCGGTACATCCCTACATTCACATACAACAAGTTGTGTGTGTGTGTGTGTGTGTATATATATATATATATATATATATATATATATATATATATATATATATATATATATACACACACACACACACACACACACACACACTGTGTAGTTATATGATTACTGAGTGACTGTTGCTATGCTATCCTCAGGCACCCTCTACCCACCCATCAGCAGAACCACCATAAGACCACATTTAACCAGTTGGGAAGTGGACCATTCTCAACACAGCAGTGACATAAACAATAGTATGCCGGATGCTGTGCTTGTATGAGTGAATCAGAAGCAGTGCTGCTGGGTTTTTATTTTATTTATTTATTTTTAACACACCTTAGTGTTACTGTTGGTGGGGTGTTTATCCTGCACAAACAGGGTAAGCGTGTCCAAAGTGGCTAGCAATGTATATAATGTTTTAAAACCCAAACAACACCTCTGTTCGTGATACAACCATACCAGTGTCACGTCACTACCATGTTGACGTCACTGCAGCGGTGAGAATGGTTCACCACCCATATAATATGTGGTCTGTGGAGGTCTTATAGTTTCCACTGATTGACAGAGTAGAGAGTAACTGATGTGCAGCAACAGATGGACTGCAGTCAGTAATTGTATACCTTAAAAGAGTACCTATATAGTAAGTGAACCTGATAAAATGGCAAATGAGTGGTGGTACAAGGTAAGTGTACCTAGCAAACTGGAAATACAGTATTTTGTTACACCATTTTGTATATGAATTAAATGCATTGCTCAGCTTCTCACCTCTGGTGGAAAGGGGGTACTTCTCCTGAATGGCAGCATATAACTGTAGCGTTAGCTGTGGGGTGGAGCCAAGAAAAGCCTGGATGACAGCCGTACGCTTGAAGGCATTGCGGTGGACAGCCAGCTTGCGCTCAGAGTGTCCAATCTCCCATTCCATAGGGGAGCCGACAGCTTTGCCATTTTTCAGCTTTCGCTTCCTTGTGATTGTGACATATGGCTCTTCCTTTCTGCCAGCCTTACAGTAAATTACCAAAGCTTCTACACACCTGTAGGGTAAGAAGACAGAAGAGAAGAGTCCAGTCAAAGGTGCAACTCATAGTTGAAAGGCCAGTAAGAGATCAGAGACCACTGGTGCATGACAGCCAATAGTTTTCAAATAAAATTACAAAAACATATTACGATATATTTTCAAGTGACCTTCAAATTAACAGCTTGAAAACATGGACTATGAAAGGTTCAGTTAGAAACAAAACAAGAGGCTTTGTTATTTTTTTTTATTTAATTGCAAAGATAAAGCTAAAAAGACATTTATGTGGAACATGTAGAGCAAACTAAAATGTGACACCGCAATAATGCTATTGTAGTCATTACTTTTTACCTCCACAAGAGGGCCCCAGTGTGCAAGAAATATTCCAGCTTGATTTACCATTCCTATTTACTGAAACACAAGAAGGGCGTACTCTTGTTCCATGGAACACCATGCTTTTGCAATGTCATTTACAGGGAGGCGTCACTCTAGTAGCACATAAATGCTAGACACACAGAGGAGAGCTCACACAGAGCATAGGTTAGCCAAACAGTTGAACTACAGTGGTTCAACAGTGTTCTGAATGGACTAGGCCTAATGAAAGGACAAAACATTCCAGTGTTGGTTTCACTCTGCAGCTGCACTATGGTGACATCACACGGCTGCACTGTTGGTGAACTGGCCAACCCACAGGCAGAGTAAGCACTTCAACACTCAGTTGATGTTGTCTCAGCTGCTGCAAGACAGTATCACTCTGCTTCGGCTACACATAAAAGTGCATGACTCAAGGAAGCTGAGGGCGGGGCAGCCGTTCAGCTCTTTCTTCAGAAGCTTCTTATCTTTATGCATGCAGAATCATTTCGGCTCACGGCCGACCATTTTCAAAAGGGTGGAATCCTGGTCACAAGCATAAAATGCAGAGTGTGCTTCAAGCAACTCTGACAACCTAATCTGCTGAGAATGCAGCTGGAGATAGTCCAGTTCAAGCTCAGTAAAAAGCTTGGACAAATGTACTGCCTCAGCTGTGAATGAAAACAATGAGTTTAGAACAAAAGTTTAGAAACCTGAGTGGTAAACCAAAAAGGCTTAACAGCAGGCCTCACATATTGACCTAAAAAGCACCGAGGTCTGTTTTGCACAAAACACAATGACAAGACAGTGTTGTAGGAACTATGAGCACCATGTGTATTAAGAACATTGGGCCTCATTTGTCAATATCTTCCAAAGCTTTTTTTTCTTAAATTTGTTCTTGAGAAAGGTCGTAAAAAGTCTACGTCAGATTCATGACGTGTTCTTAAACCACAGAACTGTCCACACCTTTGTGCTCTTGAGTGTGTGTAGATTTCATTCTTACCCTTAACAAATCCCAAATAAGAAAACATTGGGGAATGTCAAAATCTTCATAAAAACTGCATAAGTGGGCTTTATAAGAAGAAATTTCTTCTTAAAAATAGTTGGTAAATGAGGCCCACTGCTTTTTCCTTCAAAAGTACTGGAATATAATCAATAGGGCGGTCTCAATTACG